CTTTGCGTTCAGTGGGGTGTAATCAGTTCAGTCCACTATAGGAGCTCGGAACGACTGACCCGACTTTACCCCCCGAGCTGCATCTTTTTTCTTTCGGCTATCCCCTTGGCTAGAAGGCTCTCCTTCCCTTTTCCTCTTCTCGGGCGCGCCCTTGCCCTTCTGGTTGATCTCTTCCTCCGTGGCTATAAACCTGTCCGCGAGCTTAAAAAACTCGGATATGGTCGCCAGTTGGTTGACGACCATGTGCCATTTGAACTCTTTATGCATCACGCCTTTCTTGGCTGCTGCAAGGAGCACGGCGGGGTCTAGGCGCGGAATCTGCATGCATGCATCGTTGAACCGCTTGATATAGCCCCGGATGGACTCTCCCTCTCTCTGCACTATGTTGAGGAGGCTTTCTTCAGTTCGCGGGCATCGCTTGCTGGTGACGAAGTGGGACGTGAAGGCTTGCGCGAACTGCACCCAACTTCTTATCAATCCAGGTGCCAGGTTCCGGTACCATGTACGGGCTACTCCTCTGAAAGTGGTGGAGATGGCCACGCACATGCACGACTCACTGGCTCTCGCCAGGTGCATCTGTGACTGGAAGGCTTCTACGTGGTCATTTGGGTCAAACGACCCGTCATACTTGTCAAGAGGGGGGAGCTTGAAGTCCTTAGGCATTGGAACTACCAGGAGCTCGGGAGACAGGGGGGATGGAACTGAAAGGAGGGGACCCTTAGCTTCGCCCGAGCCTACCTCTTCTCTGCCTCCGAGCTCGGGCAGGTTGTGGGTGGCAGATCGGCAAGCTCGGCGGGCTCCAGATTCGTGTTGCTCACCTCCGTGCTGTCAGGAATGGTTTGCGTAGGAAGTAGCTTGGGCCGCTGGTGATGGCTGCGGACAAAGGGATCCTGCTTGGAGTCTGCAGCCAGGATCTCAAACCGGTTCTCTAGGAGCGGGGTTTCAAACTTCGACTGCCGAGGTGATGTAGACCTGGTGAGCTGGGGTCCTCCCGACCTGACCGCCCGCAGCGAGACCGGGGTGGCCGGTCTTTCTTGTCTATCGTGGGAGGAAGCCTGGATCTTAGGAGGGTTTTGGGAGGCTTCCCCTTGGCGAGAAGGGCGTTCGTCCTGGTGGTGAGACCTAGCCCTCTGCGAGGCTGGGTGCCGAGGAGGGAGTTGCGGCTGCTGAAGCTGAGGTTGAGGCAGCTGAGGGAATTGCTGCTGGTAGTGGTACTGGGAGACGTGGTGCAACACTTGCTACTGGTAAATCTGGTGTTGCTGGAGCTGCTGCACTTGAGCTTGCATGGCCCGCATGCATTGCATCAGATCGTTGAGCTGGCTCTGGCTGGTCGCCAGAGGGATGACAGTTGGTTCAACAAAGGTCGTTTCGACCAAAGAAGGTAGGGGAACACCCACAGGCGTCGTTGCTCGCGGCATGTTCAAGCTGGGGACTCCGTCCACCGAGAGGGGAATGGTGAACTTCTCAATGCAGACCGTGGGAACCTGGGGTTGTTCCCTGGAGCTTCGTCCGATATTGCTTGAAGAAGCCATGAGTGCTGAGTTTTCAGTAAAGAAAGAACTATGAAGGTTTAGAGGAAGGCTTTTAGAAGCGTTTCCCACAGATGGCGCCAAATGATGGTGCGCGATCTGGTCACTCCTAGCTGGCACTTGCGTGGCTCCCGAAAGGTACCTTAGATGGAGAAGAAGAAGAATCCCCGGGGGCTTGCCCGACGGAAACACTCTGATGCTTAAGTTAGTATTCTGTAGGAGAAGCAAGGAGAAGATGAAGGCTAAGAGTGCAGATAGCACGAGAGTCGAAGATCATACCTCTCTTCCTTGATAATAAGCTCCTTATAACAGAAATTCGTTGCCTCCGGCCCACTGGCCTCTAACAGGGCAGGTATAACCACCACTGTCAGCCTGTCGCAGCTGTTACTGGCAGGGCTGAGGTGGCACGCGCGGGTCCGTCATCGCAGGGCACGTGTCTGTCAGGTGTGAGGCACCCTCTAAAGGTGGCAGGCACGACGCTGTCTGACGAGGGATATGGCTGATGTCCCCAGATTTTTTGGGTATGGTGGTCGGGTAAGAGGTCTTCCTGCGATATGCCTAACTACCCTTCCGTGAGTTACCCTGTGTCGGGCTATCTCGTAAGCGGCGAGCTGCTTGTGGCAAGCTAAGCCGAGCTGTCTGGCCCGAGGTGTCTTCACCTCGGGGTATCTATAGGCGGATCGGTGTGTTCCTGTCTGGTAGAAGCTTCCTGAGGAGTGCCCATGTGGCCCATTCCCGAGCTACTTTGTAGCGAGCTCGGAATGTTAGACAGTTTTGTATGCCCTTAGCTTCAATCAGAATGATGTACTTTATGAGTTTATTGTAAATTAA